CCCTTCAGAGTTGAATGGTCATAGCTTGGCTCAGCTCCAGGGCACTTTTCTGTGGAGAGTATTTTTCATGATGTCTAATAGGGTCTCTTCCAACATTGTTTCTTTCTTTTAAATAAGTTTTTATTGATTTGTTTTTTTACGTCATCATTGTTTTCCCTAGTATCTCTCCCTTTTCTCCTACAGAGCTGTCCCATATAATAAATATTATTTTTAAAAAGATTTTTAAAAAGATAAAGAAGAGAAAAAAAATCAGCACAATTGATCAATACAATGAAAAAGTCTGAAAACACATGTAACCTCTGTGGATCTCCCACTTCTACAAATGGATATCTTTTCTTTTGAGTCATGCTTGATCTTTATAATTTTGCTATGTTGACTTTTGTTTTTGGTGAGGCAGTTGGGGTTAAGTGACTTGCCCAGAATCACACAGCTAGTGAGTGTTATGTGTCTGAGGCCGGATTTGAACTCAGGTCCTCCTGACTCCAGGGGCGGTGCTCTATCCACTGCACCCCTAGCTGTGTTGACTTTTGATTGTGTGTGTGTTGTTTTTCTCTCCATTGTCATACTTATTTTGTACGCTGTTTTCTTGGCACTGCTTGCTTCATTCTGCATCAGTTCATATTGACATTTTGATGCTTCTCTGTATTCATCATATTCATCATTTCTTTTTTTATTTGAATATTTATTTTTAATTTTCAACATTCACTTCCACAAGATTTTGAGTTCCAAATTTTCTCCCCATGCCTCTACTCCTCCCACACCAAGACAGCGTCCATTCTGAATACCCTTTCCCCTAATCTGCCCTCCCTTGTATCACCCTCCCCCCTTTTCTTATTCCTTTCCCCTTCTGTTTTCCTGTAGGGCAGGATAGATTTCTGTACCCCATTGCCTGTATACCTTATTTCCCAGTTGCACATAAAAAACGATTTTTAACATTTGTTTTTAAAACTTTGGGTTCTAAAATCTCTCCCTTCTTCCCTTCCCACCTACCCTCATTGAGAAGGTAAGCAACTTGATACAGGTTATACATGTGTAGTCATGTAAAACACTTCCATAGTAGTCATGTTGTGAAAAACTAATTATATTTCCCTTCATCCTATCCCACCCCCCATTTATTCTATTCTCTCTTTTGACCCTGTCCCTCCTCAGAAGTGTTTGCTTCTGATTACGCCGTCCCCTAATCTTCCCTCTCTTCTACCGTTTCCCCCCCCCATCCCCTTTCTCCCTATTTTCTTGTGGGATAAGATAGATTTCCATGCATAGCTGAGTTTGTATGTTACTACCTCCTTAAGCCAAATCCAATGAGAATAAGATTCATTCATTCCCTCTCACCTTCCCCCACTTCCCCTCCACTATAAAAGCTTTTTCTTGTCTGTTTTATGTGAGATAATTTGCCCCATTCTGCCTCTCCCTTTCTCCCTCTCCCAGTATAATCCTCTCTCACCCATTAATTTTATTTTTTAGGTATTACCCCTTCATCTTCAACTCACCTTGTGCCCTCTATCTATCTATCTATCTATCTGTCTGTCTATCTATCTATCTATCTATCTATCTATCTATCTATCTATCTATTTTTTTCTCCCTCCAACTACCTAGTACTGACAAAGGTCTCATGAATTACAAATATCATCTTTCCATGTAGAAATGTAAATAGTTCAACTTTAATAAGTCCCTTATGATTTCTCTTTCCTTTTTACCTTTTCATGCTTCTCTTGAGTCTTGTATTTGAAAGTCAAATTTTCTATTCAGCTCTGGTCTTTTCATCAAGAATGCTTGAAAGTCCTCTATTTCACTGAATACCATTTTTTCCCCTGAAGGATTACTCAGTTTTGCTGGGTAGGTGATTCTTGGTTGTAATCCTTTGCCTCTGGAATATCATATTCAAGCCTCTGGTCCCTTAATGTAGAAGCTGCTAAATCTTGTGTTATCCTGATTGTGTTTCCACAGTACTTGAATTGTTTCTTTCTGGCTGCTTGCAATATTTTCTCCTTGACCATGGAACTCTGGAATTTGGCTACAATATTCCTAGGTGTTTTCCTTTGGAGATCTCTTTCAGGAGATCTGTGGATTCTTTCCATTTCTATTTTACCCTCTGGTTCTAGAATATCAGGGCAGTTTTCTTTGATAATTTCTTGATAGATGATGTCTAGACTCTTTTTTTGATCATGACTTTCCATAGTTCAATAATTTTTAAATTTCTCTCCTGGATCTATTTTCCAGGTCAGTTGTTTTTCCAATGAGATATTTCACATTGTCTTCTATTTTTTCATTCTTTTTTTTTTTTTACAATATCTTGATTTTCATAAAGTCACTAGCTTCCATTGCTCCTTCTAATTTTTAAGGAAGTCTTTTCTTCGGTGAGCTTTTGGACTTCCTTTTCCATTTGGCCAGTTCTGCTTTTGTAAGCACTCTTCTCCTGATTGGCTTTTTGGACCTCTTTTGCCATTTGGGTTAGTCTATTTTTTAAGGTATTATTTTCTTCGGTATTTTTTTGGGTCTGCTTTATCAAGCTATTAATTTGTTTTTCATGATTTTCTTCATTACTCTCATTTCTCTTCCCAGTTTTCCCTCTACTTCTCTTACTTGCTTTTCAAAATCCTTTTTGAGCTGTTCCATGGTCTGGAACTGATTCATATTTTTCTTGGAGGCTTTGCATGTAGGAGCTTTGACTTTATTGTCTTCTTCTGCTTGCATGTTTTGATCTTCTTTGTCACCAAGGTAAAATTCTATGGTCTGACTTTTTTGTGTGCTGTTTGCTTATGATCCCAGCTAATTACTTGGCTATTAAACTTTTTTAAGGTAGGTTTGCTTCCAATGTGGAGAATGTATTGTCCCAGGCTTCTGGGGTTTTGTGCAGCTGTTTTCAGAGATACTTCTAGGGACCTGTAAATTTTCAGTTCTTCCAAGGTGGTATGATTAAGGGCAAAGTGTTTACTCCTTCCTGGCCTGTACCCTGGTCTGTGAGTGACCACAAGCACTCTTTTCTGCCTTGGAGCTGTGAGGGGTATTTCCTCTCTACCACCACCACCAGGTGCACCACACCAGTGCTCCTGTTCACTCCAGGACTGTGCCCAGATCCAAGCAGGGGCAAATCAAGATAATCCTGCCTTAGTGCCAGCAAAGAGATCCCTGCAGTCCCCCTCTGATCAGCTGCTTGATCCCCCCTCTGTCTGTGAACCTAGAGCTCTGGAAGCAGCTGCCACCCTGGGGCTGTGCCAGAACTGGGGCTGGACCAAGCTCTTCTCTCTCACTGAGGTCTGACAGACCTTTCCTACTGACCTTCTAAGTTGTCTTTGGCGTTTGTGGATTGAGAAGTCTGGAAACCACCATAGCTCTCCTTGATTCAGTCCTCTGTACCTGCTCTAGGATTGCTGAGGCCCAGTCTTTGCCTGCAGGACCCATGTTGAACTGCACTCTTCTCCCAGCCTGGTGCAGTAGACCTTTCCTGCCGACCTTTGAGGTTGTCTTGGGCTGAAATTTGTTTCACTCTGTTTTGTGTGTTCTGCTGCTCTAGAATTTTGTTAAGAGCCATTTTTTACAGGTATTTGGAGGGGTTTGGGGGGAGAGCTCAAGCAAGTTACTGCTTTTTCTCATTTCTTGTAGTACAGTAATATTCTGTTACATGTGTGTACCACAGCTTGTTTAACCATTTCCCAATTGACAGGCATCTGCTTTGTCTCCCATTCTTAGCTCTTACAGAAAGTGCTGCTATTAATATTTTGGTGCATATGAAGATTGCTTGGGGTATAGTCCAGTAATAGCTATTGTTTCTTGAATGACTCCATCTCACTTTTGTGATCTCCTTCCCCACAAATGAAGGCCATGGGTATCCCTAAGATTTCATATCACTGGGGAGAGCCAGAGTCAGGACTTGGTCTGTTGCTTCTGTCCTAGAGGAATGTAAATTGTATAGATCACCATCTTGACCCATTGCCCTCTGGGTAGTCTTACCGTAGGTTCTTGGAAGCATTTCCTTGGAGAAATAGAACTTAGGAATGTCTGGAAGTAATAGCAGGAAGCGGTTTAAGACTATATCCATCTGTGTCTAATGTAATTTTTCACCTGTTTCCATCCTTTCTTCTTTCCTTATTAAATATACTCTTCCTTATGTCTCCTTTTCTATGACCCCATCCCACTTATTTCATGGCAGGGTTCATGAGTGAAAGTGATGGGGTTCTGGTAGCTTGTGAAGGAATTAAAGAACCTTCTAAACTAAATTTCTAGCTAGTAGAATGTACTAGAAATACATTTGACGTAATTGATTTGTATACATAGGCTCACCCATTAGAATATAAGCCGCTTAAGAAAAAAAAAAAGAAGGATCTGACTTAATATGTATCAATGAACGTTATCTTCTTATAAAATAATGAAGAGTGTCAAGAAAAAAGTATATTTGAAAAAATTCCTCCGGGTTAAACCTGGAATCAGATTTGCTTTCCTTTTATTCCCAGAACTCTGGTAATCAAGATCCAGTCTTGTGCACATGAATGCTTGTCACGTTTTCAGTCAGCTCTTTATTTTTTGGGAGTAGGCCTTTTAGCAATTGAGAATATGTGCTTCACAAATAAAAAGGGAAACAAAAAGTCATAAAACCATTTGGAAGTTGATATCAGGGTCATTGTTAGACAGTTTAACATTTGCCACATATGCACTTGCCATTAAGGGGTTACTAGTCTGTGCTATTCGTAAACAATAACTATGGACTGATTTATGTAGTACTTAATGCCAACATAAGGGGGTACACATAACTCCCTTTGTGCAGTTAGCTATTTTGTACTCATTGACTATGGCTGATCATCTCTAATGCAATAGCATGTAATGTGAAGTGTACACTGGGTGTCTCCCAGACAGAACTGGTCTCTTGGCTCTTCCCCTCCTCCTTGCCTTTGAACCCTTGGGTATGATGTGTAGCAAATGAAGCCTGGCACAGCTCCCCAGTGGGCCTCCTTTGCACAGGGAAATGGCCCCTTCTGACTAAGTTTGGAATTGTATTTTATTAGGTTGGACCTCAACACACATGGTTTCACAACTCAGGAACTCAAGATTGCTCTTGAAAAATTCAAGGAGGGAGCAGGTGGTGCAAAGGAAGATAAGGTACGTATTTTTCCCACACATTCCATTGTTGCTCATTCTGATTTTGTTTTGGAAACAGGGTTCTCATGATTCTCCCCAAGCCTTTGTAATCTCCATGGGTTGCAACTACCACCGCTGCTCCCACCCCTATCGCTAACAAGAGCAACAACAGTAAGAAATGAGTCAGTGTGTTCTTGAGGCAGTTGGCCTCAGGACACACTGGCATTGTGGATAAGTCACTTAACCTGTCAGTATCCTGGACAGTTCTCTAAGGTGGACTTCTTATTGAGAGCCTGTGAATTCCACCTGGTAGCAGTAACCTCAGCAGGCCGGTTGTGCAGCTGCTAAAGGAAACAGGCTGTCAGTACTGAGAAAGGCTGCATAAGATCCTGAGAACCTGCAGGTTGATCCCAAACCAAAGGCCTGAGCTTGATCTTGCTCTTCAGACTCTCTTCCGCCTCCATACTTTCACTCCCTCGCAGTTGAGAAGATGAATGAATTATACCTGAATTAGGCCTGTCATATAAATCAAGAACTTGGCCGTCTGTTGCATCCTTTCCGGTATCCAAATATCTTCTTCCTTGGGAATGATTTCTCCCTTGCCTACTTCATATATTCCACTCATGGCTGGGAGGTTTTAGTATTTATCAAGAAGTTCACATTTTTTTTTAAAGTCTTAAACATTTCTGTTGCTGTTTTCCCAATTGAAGATGACCTCCTTAAAAATAAGATCTACTCCTCTTGGTTTCTTTTCAACATTTTACTTCATCTGACCAGGTATTTCTAGGGTTTGTGCTGAGCCAGGTCTCATTTCTCTTTTTCTTAATCATTGAACATCAGAATTTGTCTGCTTTGGCTCTGAGAGTGAGAAAACAGTAATCTCTATTGGGGATAGGTTATGCTGCCTATTCCCAGGATTCTTATGGCATCAGGATTTGAACTCCAATCTTTTATTTTCACTTTCTCAAAACTGGTTCATAGAACCATAAAACTTTATATCTTAGAGAACAGTATGTTACTTTACAGAAAATGAGGTACAGAAGGGGAAAGAGAGAGCATTTATTAAGTACTTGTTATGTGCTATCCCCTGTGCTAAGTACTTTGCAGATATTATCTCTCTTGATCTCACAACCCTGGGAAGTAGCTACTATTATTATCTCCATTTGACAGATGAATCTGAGGCAGACAGAACTTAAATTACTTGTCCAGTGTCGCACAACTCGTAAGTACAGGAGGCTGGATTTGAACTCCGTTCTTCTTGACTCCAGACCCAATGCATACTCTAATCTGCTGTGCTATCTAGCTGACTCAGAAAGAGAAAGTGGTTTACCCAAAGTCACATAGCTAATTAACTAAATGGGTTGAGTGGGTTATAGAACCGTGTCCTTATCCCAGTGTAAAGAGTTTTTGGAGCATACATGGTCAAATACAAGTTTGTATTTGCCATTAACTGTGATTATGTTAACATCTTGCCAAAAAAAGGAGGTTACTTCTCAATATGATTTTGAGAAAAGTCATGAGCTTAATTTCGTTCTGTAGAATTTTAACATGCTAAAATAATTATCCTTCCTTCCAAAGATTCTCACTTCCCAGGAGGATTCTGGATTGTTAATATTAAGTCTTACCTTTTATACTCTTAATATCTTTGTCTCTGTTATTTGGTTGGCTTTATGTTTTGGGAGTATTTTATCGTTGTTAGCTGTTTTTTCCCCCCAAGGGAGTTGATTGCTGTCATGAGGACCTTAGTTTTTAAAGCTAAGCAATTGCAGCTCATGGCTTGGCATATGACCCAGGAGAGGTGTCCAGTTCCCTATCCAACCTGTCCACCTGTGACTCAGCATTGTTATTGACAATCCTTAAGACTGGATGCTATGACAGTATCTCCCTTTTTGGGCTCGGAGAAGAAAAAATGTGGAACTCTGCAGAGTCTTTTTTTTTTTTCCTGCAAAGAGCATGGTCTTTTTTTCATTTGGGCTCTTTCATTCCCTTTGGATGCTGCTCCCAGAAGGTGCTTGTAGTAGGTGGGAGAAAAGCTCATAGGTAATAGATGAGCATTTTGTAGCTGATTGCTTCTCGTCATCCTGATTTTCTAAATATCTAAGGCTTTTAATTTGTCTTGGATCATAGACACCCTGTTATTTGAGACAAAACCTCCTGTGTCCTTTCAGAATTTGTGAATGCTATGTTCTGCAATTGGAATGAAAAATAGGGACTATCAGAAGTTTGAAATATTCAATTAAAGGCCTTTCCCCACATAACAGCATAGCTTGATCTCGGAAACATTTTGTGTGCATATATGGGGAGAGGTGAGTGTAGATTATTAGGGATTTGGGTACAGTACATGCAGTAAGTTAACCATTTCAAACAGTCCTACAAATTGTACACCTGTGACAGTAATGACAGTGATTTATTTTTCATCCGTAAATTGTTCCCACTCTTGACAGCTCTCTCTGCCCACAGTTTTTTTCTTTCCCAGGCTCCCCTAAAAACTTCTTGTGTCAGGTAGGTACACAGCTATGGAGCAGAGACTGAAGTTCAGACTTGCTGACCATTGGCATCCCAGATGTCTCAGGAAGAGCCCAGTGTGCTAATCCCAGGTCTGATGAACCATTTACACTTGGAAATCATATGCTGGCAACTGCAGGAATGGGAAGGTTCCATTCTCTGCCCAAGAAGACTTGCATAAGGACATCGTTGCTGCTTTTTGAGCCTACAAATTAGAGGCCCTTTTTGGAAGTTCTTCCAAATATATTATAAGTGTCTAAGTATATGAGGTTGGTTCCCGGGGTCCTCTTGTCTGGACATAGTGGAAAGATTTAGAGTTTTAGAAAGTGTAGAATCAGGCAGGTCCTGAACTTCGTGGGCATCATGGGTTGTTTTGAAGGAAAACTTGACAAGATAATTTATACCTTTTAAAAAATGTCACATCTGTTTCCAAATATATCCTCCTTCCCCCTATCAAGAGAACCATCCCTTGTAAGAGATTGAAAAAGAAGGCAGAAAAAAAGCAGTTTGGTAAATTTAACCAACACAGTGATTGTAGCAGACAGTATATGTAGTATTCCATGCCCGTTGTCCCCCATCCTGCAATGAAGGGAGAAGGGCACATTTTCTTAACTCTTCTCCAGGGCCAAGTCTGGTCATTTTACTTACACAGCATTAACTTTTTACTTTTATCTAAGCAATTACTTTCTTAACTGCGAGTAGTAAAGGTTCAGGAGCTCTCAGATACATACCCTTAGATTCCCATTGTCTGTTACGGTTTTACCCCCTTCCCTACCTGCCCTCTGCCATCTTCCCTCCCAGCCTTTCTTTCCTCATGCTCTCACGTACTTTCTTGTTCCCTCTCTCACACCAACATGCAGGACCCCAAGGGGACTGATGAGTTTGAACTAATTCTCCTTCAGCTTGTCTCTGTCCTTATTTTTTTTCCCTAGGCCCGACAGGAAGAGGTCAGGCGACGTTTCCGCCCTATTGAGGATCTGAAGAAGGACTTTGAAGCCTTGAATGTAGTCATTGAGAGTGACCTCCAGATTATGGTTCGACTGATCAGCCAGTTCAATAGCTCCAGCACCACCCTGGAAGAGAAGATAATGGCTCTCTACGATTTGGAATATTATGTCCATCAGGTGAAGAAGCAAAATGTATTGAATGGTAACCTCTGAAGGAGACTCCACAGTCTTTCCTGAAAAGGCCTGTGTCATTACTACTGTCCAAATATGTAGCACGTTTTTAGTCAGAAAGGTCAGAGACAAGTGTGGCCTCCTTGTTACTCAGGCTGTCATGGGGTATGCGAAGAGCTGGCCAAGAAGAAGTCACACTTAGGATATGTGATCCCAATCAAAGATTTGTTTGAACATGTATAACCTGAATCAAAATGCTTGCTGTCTCAGAGAGGAGAGAAGGGAGGTAGAGCGTTTAGAATTCAACATTTTTTTAAAAGTTATTTTTACATGTAATTAGAAAAAAATATTTAAAAAAAAAAAGAAAAGATTGGCTTGAAATAATGAAGTAGAATTTGGAGGCGTTTTCCACTGTTCTTTAACCTCCTTCCCTAAAACCGGTCCATCGCCAAAGCTTAATGTTCTCTCTCTTTGAAATATCTGGCACATCAGTGCTATTCTCTCCCCTTAAATGCCACTACCCTAGTTCATGTCCTTATCACCTGTTTAATTGGTCTTCAAATCTCTCCTTTTTCCAGTCTGTCCTTTACAACACCCACCTTCCATCTCCACCATTGAATACTCCGTGTAGAAAAAAAAATTGTCACCCTGACTGACAATGCAACTGTCTGACAACTCCTGTGATATTGTGTGCATGCAGTCTCCCACATCTCTAGGAAGAGAAGAGAGTGTGTTTCATTATCTGTTCTTTTGGAGACTGGATTAGTCATTGCACTTAATCAGAGTTTGGTGGGCTTTTAGTGTTTATAGGCATTGGATATATATAGCCCAGAGATATATCCCAAGCCCAAAATGTTCAAAAGAGAACTCATTCTTCTTCCAAACTTTACTGTAGTTTTCCCTTCCACATCATGGGGTGTTAGGGGCGCAGTGCCACCACAATCTGGAAAGTCCTCATAAAACTCTTCAGCCCTCCCTTTGTACCAAAGAAGAAGTCTGAATTATTATGGTATTAAAAGATAAAATATGATAATATTGTACAATACTGTGCATATATTTTATGCATTTCTGAGTTTCTAAACTTTTTCTGTGTCGTCTGTGGTTTCCACAAAACTCCAAAAAAATTCCCATTTAATTTCTTATGTCCACCCATAATATATCAGAACCTCAATGGGGAAAGTAATGATGTGGAAGGGATAACTGTATCTCTATTGAAGGCACCATGCTTGTTCCAGTTGCCCAGATTTCTAATCTTGTTTTCCTTCATTCCTCATTCTTCCTTGCTTCACATGTCTATTTCTCTCCATTTCTACATTAACACTTGCATTTGGCCTCTTTCTGCTCGCACTGTTGACACTTTGATTCAAACCAGCTCCTGCCTTGATTATTACAATAGCCTTCTCATTGGTGTCCTGCTGCAGGGCTCTTTCTGAGTCGTGCTATTCTCCCTACAGCTACCAAAGGGATTTTCCTTAAGCACAAGTATGATGATTTTACTCCCCTCCTCAGTAAGTTTAAGTGGGTATAAACTTTGTTTACCTTTTAAAATCCTTCAGAACCTTTCCACAACCTGACTTTATGGCTTCGTTGTATGTTATTTCCACTCCACACTGGGTATCCAGCCAAACTCTGTTTCTCTCTCTCCCTCTTCTCTCTCTAACTCCCAGCTTTTTGTCTGTGCATAGGCTGTTCTCCAAACCTGTAATATACTTTGTTCTCACTTCTTCCTCATAGAATCCTTCTTTCCCTTCAAGGCATAGCCCAAGTACTACTTTCTGCACCATTTCCCCTCAACCTTGTATTCTACTACTTTGTATTCATTTATATTTATTTGCTGTATATTTAGTCTGAATACACACATATTACTTGTCTTTCCTTCTAGAATGGAAACTCCCCATAAGTTGGGATTGCATTTTGTATCCCTAGCACCTATAATAGTCCCTTGCATATAGTAGACATTTAATAAGTATTTATTAATTGTATGCAATTCTGCTTTGCCATGTTTCTCTGAATTCCTTGTTCATTTGATATAATAATGACCATTTTCCCAAAGAAGGCTAAACAGAAGTTGAAGGGAAACTATAACAGGCCTGTGCAACATGTGGCCCGTGGGCCTCTTGTGGCCTACTAAAGGATTTTGGGTGGACCGCAGAAAATGTAGAGGATATAAAAGGAAGTAAAGATGTAACTAGTGCTTTGTCCGTGCTCACTTAACCCGCCTTCTATTAGTCACTATTGTGCCTGTCATGTAACTTGGCGGGGTGGGTTGCCACTGTGCACTCTCACCTGTTTGTAATGTGACCTGTGGAAATCAACCATTGTCAGTCTGGCTCTAAAAACCTGTATGTGGCCTGCAGAAGTTTAGCCTATTTTAGTTTTGGCCCCTATCCATTGCCAACCTGTGCAGGCGTACCCTATGACTCAACCTACTATCAGGGCTAAAAATCTGTGGCCCAAGGGACACTGGGCTGTGTGCTGGGAAAACCTCAAGCCCTTGGTTAAGAAGGATTTCAGAGGATGTTGTATTTCTGCTTGACTTTAACAGGATTAAGCTGGTGTGACAATTATCTTACCTGAATATTATACCACTATTTGTTCAGCTATTCCCAAGTCTGTGGGTACCTTATTTACAATTTTTGGCTACCACAGGAAAAAATACTGCTTCTTAGATTTTGGTATACATGGAACTTCTGTTTCTGTCATTGAATTTATTTGGGCATTTTCCAATTAATGGGATTATTGGTGCAAAAGGTATAAAGAATTTAGAGTGTTTTCTGACATGATTTCAAATAGTTTTCCAGAAAAGTTAGATCAATCCAATTCTTCCTTCAACAGTGTTTTAATGTGCCGATTTCTTACCACATTGACTATTTCTGTCCTTTCTCATGTTTGCCAGTTTGATGAATGTGAAGTGAGAACTTCAAATTTGCCTTTATTTGTTATTACACCTGCTGGAACAGTTAGGTGGTGTAGTGGATAGAGTGCCGGGCTTGGAGTCAAGAAGTCATATCCTCCTGAGTTCAGATCTAGCCTCATAGACTTACTAGCTGTGTGACCCTGGACAAGTCATTTAACACTGCCTCAGTTTCCTCATTTGTCAAATGAGCTGGGAAAGGAAATGGCAAACCACTTGCCAAGAAAACCCCAAATGGGGTCATGAAGTGTCATACGCAACTGAAAAATGACTTAACAACAACAACATCATTGTGATTTGGAGTAGTTTTTTCATTTAGTTGTTTGCACTTCATCTTTTGAAACTTTCTAGTCTGTGACAATCTAAGTATTGTGGAATAGCTCTTCCTCATATTCTTGCAGCACTTTCTGTTCTTTTGTATTAATTTTCAGTTAGCTGCCATTTTGTCTTTTATACTTGCCTTTTTAGGGGGTGAGGGGTAGGAAGCTAAGTAGAGTACTATTTTATCGTATTGTAATTTGCCATCTCAATACATGATCTTATTTAGCTATAAAATTTATATTTCCATTTCTCTCTTAAGAAAAATGTTTTACTGATTCTTTTTGTTTTGTTTCATTTTGTTTTACATTTGTGTCCTTTTCCAATAACCATCTCTCCTCAGAGACCATTTTTTTATAACAAAGCAAGCAAAACTAACATAGCAGTGAAAACTGATGGCACATGGGACAGTCTACCCCTCTATTGGAAAGGAGGGAGGGTGTTTAATCATCATTTTCCTGGAACTAAGTTTAGACACTGTGAATAATCTGAATTTTATTTCTTTTTTTACTGTTTCTTTTGATGTTATTATAATCCTTGTACATACAGTTCTCGTTTCATCCTTCTACATTTTCCACTATTTAATATGAGTCTTTCAATGTTTCTCTGAATTCCTCATTTTCACATTTTTGTGTGTGTAATAATAGTCTATTATGTTTATATACTGTGATTTGATCTGTTGTTTACTAGTTATTTGGAAACTGTCTTGTTTTTGGTTTTTGGCTTTTACCAGGAAGACTGCTATGGATATTTTGGTGTATATGAGACCTTTCTGTCTGTCATTTTACCTCCTTGGAATACAGGCTTAGTAATGGTATTGCCCAGGTCAAAGGTTATACATACTTGTAATTTTAAGCTGGTTGTGAGATTCTCTTTATGTTCACTTATCTTTCTTGAGGCATTTTCATCCCTCTCTAAAATCATTTCTGTTTCTATCTTTAGAATTTGATTCTTGGGAGCTATCTATACTTCTGCTGACTTCTCTTCTAGAAAGATCATTGCTTGATCCCTTTAAAATCTCTCCCTTTAAAATGAGGATACATGTCCGACTGACTGAAACCAAGGTTACCATAATTTCTACTTTGGCATTCATTTTTTCCTTGCCCAGCCTCAGGTCCGGTTAGCAGGAACCTGGTTGTTTCCTTTATCTCTTGAATGATGAAATTATTATCCTTTCCTCTGGCTGTTGTTCTCTCTTTGCTTGTTTCGTATCTCTCTGCCCTTAATTCTTTTTGCTTAATTTTTTTTTAATAAAAGAAGAGTAGAAGCAAGCCACGTGGAATTTACTTTTGCCTCTTCCAGATGTAACTTTGGGAAAAACACAACATTCAGGATTATTGTTATTATTCAGGAGCAGAATAATCCCTGCTCTACCCTCTCTCACAGCATTGGTTTGAGGATAAAAATGAGCCGTGTACAAATGTGAGCAGTTTTGACAGTCTTGAGTTTATTTTAGTCAGCAGTGAATTTGATGACCCTTTCTGAGGTAGACCCTCTCCTGGAGGGTGGTGGTTGTCTCGCTGTTGTTAGTTTAAAACAAAGGTCGCAGCTGCCCTGCAGATAGATGGCCAAGAATTTAAACCTGTTTAGGGAAGGTAATAAGGACCAGATGAGATTACGTCAGTGAACTTCTGCAAACCTTAAAGCACTCTACACATATGTACTACCCCCAACAATACCCGTCTTCCCCAGGATGTCACCCTGTGGACGTAAGCTTTCTTTTATGTCAGGAAAATCAGAAAGAACAGTGAGAGGAAGAATGGGGCCAGTAAGC